TATCGATCGGATCGCATTACAAGTCCGGCACAAAAGACGGCGAACGCATCAAAGTCAAGCAAGCCATCAAACACCCCAAGTACAACGCCGGGACCACGAGCTACGACTTTGCCATCTTGATCTTGGAAAAACCGTCCAAGTTCCCTCCGGTCCAGGTCTCGTTTGACACGGTGGCATTGACCCATCCCGAAGTTTCAATATGGACGAGACCAGCTTTTCTCCTTCGACGACGTCAAAAAAAGTTGTTGTCCACGAGTAAACGATATCTGTACGTGCTGACGAAACACCTGTCTCCGCACATGTAACAATTGTGGCATGTATTGCCGCAGATGGAACGAAGATGCCACCGCTGTTTGTTCCACCTGGTGACAGAGTGACTAATCAAGCTTGTGCCAGTCTTAAAATCCCTGGCGCTGCTCTAACAACATCTGAAAAAGGGTGGACAAACGCCTACATCTGTCGCAAGTGGCTTGCCATGCTCAGCGCACATATTTCACCGTCCACAGAGCGTTTGATTTTGCTGATCATGGATGGTTGCTCGTCGCACTACTCTGAACACATCTACGCGGAAGCCAAAGCCTTGAACATTTTGCTGCAATTTCTGCCGGCGAATGCGACACACCTGTTCCAACCACTCCAGGTGACAGTGTTTTGGCCTTTTAAGCAAGCCATTCGAAATGCTGTCGCTGATTTCATCTGGACCGATGTGTCAACAAACATCAACATGCAACGCGCCATCGCTAATGACTGCGACGTTTGGGCCAATTGGACCAATGAAGCCGCCATCATCAATGGGTTTGTGTGCATGGGATTGTGTCCGATGTCGTTGGACAAGATGATGTATCGTTTGTCTCTTTTCAAGCCATGTGCTACCCATGAAGTCGATGTGAATGAGTCTTGGCTGCAAATACGTGAGCTTGTCCGTGGCGAAGTTCTGCTCTTGCCTGGCGAGAAAGGCATTGACAGTAAGTGGTAAGTTCATTACGGCTGACTACCACGAATTGCATCAAGCTCAAGTTGCCGCGAAGCCTAAGCGCAAGAAGAACTCGCAAGAGCATGTGGTCTTGCCGATCGCAAACAATGATGACGATTGAGTAGTAAAGTGTGTTGTTTAGGTGGTAAATGGTATTTTCATTTACGATTTTTGTTTTGTCATTGCGTTCGGTAACGTTGGTGCTATTATTAATGTGAACACAAGACGAGAAAACAATATTTACTATTACTTGGGGGATATCACAAGTTTCCAAAAGCACCTTGCCCACCTCGAAGAATAATCTTCACTGGCTAACCATTGCCCTGCCCCCTTACCGACTTCCGTTGTAGAGAAGGATCACATTCGGGGTACTAAGCGGACGCAAGCGCACTTGGTTGTGACGAACATTACGCTGCAGGCACCCGCAATGGGCACTAGGTAAGGAAAATTGTAAAATGAGAAACTAAATTTGCTTGCCTCTCTATGAAATGGTGGTGGTGCGCCCATACTATGCAGGGAAAATACATGGCCTGGAACTTGCCTTTATTTTGGTGTGAGTTTGACCCAGCTGCTGAAGATGGCCACGTGGTACGGTAGAGTGTCCGAATATAAGAGAGAAAGTGCAGTAAGTTCCGCAATATATTATTCCTGTTCAACTATTTGAGCTGGAGGCCTATTAGGCCTCTAGCTAGT